CGATGTAACCATTACGCCATCTGCTGGTCCCATAATTGAATGCATTTTAAGTTTATTCAATTTGAGAAAAATAATGAGGAGAGGTAGTGTAAACGAAAGCTTAGTATAGGAAATAGTGCAGTCAGGCTATGAGTGGGACATGGTTTATAAAAAATGAAGAGGTAGGAGTTCGAGCAGAGAGGCAGAGGGGATGTGTCTCATTTATCATTTTTTAACATTGCCAAAGGGTATGTGCGTTCACCAGAGACAGTCAGAGAGAGTGAGGGGGAGAGAGAGCAAGCACTTCCAATAGAGCATGATCATGTCACAATCTCTTGTCCTTCATTTCTCCATCTAACTTTTTCTTGTATAACTTTATCTTAACCTTTGATCCCTGTCTCCATTGGCTTGTATATCTACATTGGCCAAAATATATTATAATAAAAGATAGAATTGGGACCAGCAGTTAGCGTAATGGCTATGTCACTGGACTCCCACGTAGTCGACCTTGGTTCGCATCCCAGACCCGGTGGCATAAAACTCACGCCGGGCATGTGTGCATGCGTACCCAAGATCCTGAGAGGAGAATGGAGGAGAAGGGATTGCGGTGTGGCCATCCCCCCAGGGGGTGATTTCTCGCTTTCTGTCTCTCTGTCTCTGTCTGTCTGGCGAGTGCACGCGCCCTAAAAGCAAAAACCTCTCCAAAAGAAAAAGACGAAGAAAAGAAAAGATAGAATCTGGTTTATGTAGTTAATTCTTTTAAGCTTTATCTATTGATACTTCATGTTTCTCAAAGAGCATCCTGGATCGTACATGGCTGACCATGTGGTTTGAGTCCCAACCTGGCAGTTTAAGGAGTATGCTGAGCATGTGTGTGCACATGGGAGAAAAGGAGGAGAAGGGATTATTGTCCGACTGTCCCCTGTGCCTTCTCAGTTTCTATTTCTTTGTCACTGCCTCTCTTTGGTGAGCACATGTGCTCTCTGACAAAAAAACAAACCAAACCAAAAAAAACAAAAAAACAAACAAACTTGTGACTCTCTCCTGTAGTACTTAGGTGTTTCAGTTAAAGCCTATTAAATCCCTTTATTTTCTATACTGTTTATATTTAGGAACTAGCTGAACAAGTAATTTAATATAGCAGTTAATTGTGTATAATTACAATAAAACCTCTGTAGGTTTGTTTCTTTGTAGAAGTTAGTAGACTTCTTTCTACCTTTGTTATCCAAGGTAAAGTTTTATCTCGGTACAGGCAATATTTGTATTAAACCTCAGCTGGCCATGACCAATTCAGTGCCTCTATTCCATTTGAACAATTAAGATTTCACCATGATCTAATTAAGACACATTGACAACTAAACACCCTTCCTCATTAAAAAAACAGAGCTTGAAAAACATGACTGCAATGGGGGAAAAACTGTTCAGATTACTAAATTGTTCTTTGCTCCAAGCAAAATAAAAGCAAGAAGTCATAGGTAAGATTGAAAATGATCATTTTTATAACTTAAGAAGTGGAACCATACCTCCAATTTCTGGAACACTTCAAAATAAAGAGGACAGCATGAGTAGTACATGTAGCCAGTTTAAATATTTGTTTAAATCCCGACAAGATCATTGGTTTTAATATTTATAATATAATTACAATTCTTTGTGCACGTTATTCATATAGTCTAATTTTTTCTAATGACATATTATTACCAGGCTTTAATTTCAGCAATGGCAAGAATTTAAAAACACAGTTTGGTTATCATTAGTAATAAAAAACAAACCTGGTGCTTGTTCAAACACCTTGGACACATATCTTATTTCAATCTCAAAGCATTTTTTAAAGAATTATTTATTTTATTTGTTATTATTATTTGACCAGAGGGAGGGAGGGAGGGAGGAGGAGGCGAGGGAGGGAGGGAGGGAGGGAGAGAGAGAGAGAGAAAGAGAGAGAGAAAGGGAAACTGAGAAAGCAAGCCGCCAGGTCTGAGACTTGAACCATGGTTGGCCATGTGGGAGTACAACACCTTAACCACTGTACCACCCGCCAAACCCAAATCTCAAAGCATTTTTAACCACCAAGATGTAATTTACTGCTACATGATTTTACATTTTTTTTTTAAATTTTGCTATAAGAGTGTGTGTGCTCACCAGAGATAGAGACAGAGAAAGTGAGAAAGCACTTCCAAAGGGGATGGCCACACCGCAATCCCTTTTTCTCCACTCTCTTCTCAGGATTTTGGGCATGCACACACAGTGTGGCGTGTTTATCAAGCTGCTGGGTCTGGGACTTGAACTGTGCGCCCGGTTATGTGAGATCTATCTGTTTTATCCTCCATGCCGTTTGCTGGCTCCACAATTGTACATTTTTAAAGAATATTATCAAACAGTGGCCACGAGGAGCAATTAAATCAGAAGTATTCCACACTTGTGCAGCAGTTGTAAATGGCCTCTTGGAACATTTCCAGAAGTCAAAACCAGGGCTGGTGGGTGGCATGGTGGTTAAAGGTGCTGGATTCCCACATGGTCAGCAACAGTTTGAGTGCTGGCCCTAGCAGCTTGCTTTCTCACTTTCCCTTTCCATTCTCTCTCTCTCTCTGGTCAAATTAAAAAATAATAATAATAACAAATGGAATTAAATAAATAATTCTTAAAAAAGAGAAAAGAAACAAAAAAGTCAAAGCCAATGAAAACCAAAGCACAAAGCATCTAAGATGCCACTGCCTTCCTTCCTCGCCACCTATCACTAATTGCAGTTGCCTAAATTGTGATTTTCCATTCCTTCTTGACAGCACAACCTAAGCTTGCTTTTATGACTAAAAGGATAAAAAAAAAAAAATCAAAGTGTCATGTACCTACCACTAATCATTAGCTGACATAGAAACAAAATAACTACAGGTGCCTGTTCTGAAGAGCACCAAGGTATTTCAGGGCTCCATTGCACTTTCCCGGTGACAGGCTGAAGAAATCTAAAAACAGGCTGAAAGCTGAACCACTGCTGAAATCCTACAAGATAGTACAAACAAACAAATGTAAACAAAAGAAATATTTTGGACACCCAGGGACATATTCATCACCCAATAATTATATTATTTCACGGTAATAGGAGAAAAGGAAAATACTTGTCAATGGATATGTCCCAGAATGTCCCAGAGAAAGTAAAAACAAAAAAACCCCAGAAAGTCCAAAAAAAAAAAAAAAAAAAACTCCAACACACCTGAGGCTAGCAGAGTCATAATTGAAAAATAACTGACGTAGGCTTTCTCGCATCTTCACTGCTATGCATTACAATGCCTGCGAACTGTAGTTGGAATGAGACTGTGGCATGTTGTTTATTTTGAACATGACTCAACATTAGAATAACAAAAATTCATGAAAAAAAAATGTAGCCTCATTACCAAAACACCACCCACCAAACTCAAGGAGAGAGCAGACTCTCCCTTGAATAATAAACCAGCTACCACAGATCATTTGGGGGGAACGATGTGCATTACTGTTTGGTATTCCTGATACAGCCCTACTTAATAGAATTCAGGGTGCCGCTGCAGGTTTCTCAGACATCTGAGTAATTTTCATCTGCATGATTACAGCATGATGTAGGTCTCCTCTGACAGTACAGAGGTGGTTTGCTCCTTCCCCGTTCTATAAAAGTTTGGAAGTCATTCCTCATTCCATTATTTCGGGATTAACTTCTTCACTATGACAGGGGCAGATACCCAATGCTCAGTCTCCCTGCCAATGATGGGACACTCAGGTCTTTATGATGGACTTTGTCCAGAGTAAAAGCATAATGGCAAACAAACTCAGCGGGGATACAGAAACCAGAACACACGTCTGGTTTTACCCCTGTAAACCGGCACACGGGTGAAATGTGTCTTTGGGATGCATCCAAAGAATGAAGACGTACAGTAATTTAAATATTTGGATCACAGTAAACAATTTTTTGGCAATATTAATCTTGATCCGATAAGCAAAGATCTTTCTTTACATAAAAAAAAAGCAACCAAATGTGCTTATCTCCTGTAACAGATGGTGACGATTTGTACGGTCCTGCTATTCCCTTGTGTGGTTTATGATCACATTCTGTTCACTCTTCTTTTTCCTGTTCTTGAGATTCTCTTAATTTCCATGTCTAACAGTTCCCGAGTAATAAATACCCTATAGCATCTTAATTCATTCACAAATTGTTATCAAATACCTTCAAAGATTTAAGCATGATCGTAGATGCTAAGGCTAGGTTTAGATACTCATTGTGCAGTAAAATACATCTTAAAATATCACCAAAAACTTTCCCTCTGTCTTTCCTTCCTTCTCTCCCACTTCCCTTCTTATTTTCTCTTTCTTTCCTTCCTTCCATTTAATAGTGATAATCATTTTTGATGGATAGTTGCCTAGAGCCTGTATCCTGTTAATCATATCTTAGTATATGTATTTACATGAAATATCAAAAATGTATAAAAAACATTGGTCAATTATCCATTGATTTATTTTCCTAAGATAATATTACTATGTGCTTATGTAAATGACAATAAGAATTAAAAATGCATTTATGTCATCAAAACTACAATGTAAATTCCTTAGGGAAAGCTCAGGATCCTTTCATTCATCTATAAATCCTAGAACACAATAACAATAATATATATACTAAAGGAAAAAAAAAAAACAATTCAGTGTGTCTTTAGTTTGGGAGTTCTTAAAAATTAAAGTTAAAAATTAAAGTTGAAAGAAAGGAAGCAGCATCTTTAGGATTTCTGCAGCAAAAAGAGCCCATGTATACATCTCCACATATACAATATAACTTCAAAGCAATGAGAACAATTTCTTTAGGTCATTTATTAACCTTAGCATCTTAACTTCTTGGTTATATCACTTATTTGTGACTCATATATAATTTTTGGCATTTATACAGCTATATACAAGGTTGAAAATCTGATGTAAGAAAGGGAAACTGAGAAGACCTCTTAAAGAGACCGCGTTACATGTTTTCCGAATGTATCAGAAATCAGGCACAGAATAAGCAAAGCCAGCCTACTTACCTTGGTAGACTTCCAGCTAACTCTGCGGCTGTCTCTCTGTAGGAAAAAAAGAAGATAAGCCTGATTAAGCTCATTTTGGTAAATTATAAAAAGCTTGTTTAGTCACATAATATAATGTACCAAGGTTATTATGGTATAATGTATGTGAAAAAGATACTGCACATACAGGTGCTTAGAAATTCAACATTGGCTAATCACATTTCTGATTAATTGTTATAACTGTTTCAGCGGTTACTTTCAAAAAAATTTTATACATAGACAAAATATGTACTTCTGTTTTGTGGTGGTAAAATTTATCTGAGGTAAAAACATTAAAATGTAAAAATGAAAAAAAGCCAGAAGAAAATTGGGGGGAGGAGAGGATCCCAAATCACCTTTTAGATATTTGCTCCATTGTTACACAAAATTAAACAAAGCACCTATGATCTCTTCCCAAGAATCATTTAGGAAGAAATTCCTTTGTGAATGGTACTTTGTGTGGATCTGTCACCCAAGGTTTATGAATAAAGGAACACAACACAAAATGCAATTTCTTAAGTAACAATTTGCTGTTTTTTGTTTCCTTGTTATCACGTCCTAGCATTTGGGACTGATGAAGGCAGATGCTATAATTCAAATGGCATTAAAGTCACTAATTAAAAGCACTATAGCATATTAATAAAAATGACCAGAGACAAAAATGAGCTTTTTCTTAATTGCCGTAACATGTCTTTCAATCAGAGATGTGTTCTTGGAAAAAAAGAGGCACAGTGAGTAGGAGGAGATGGAGATTTTGTTGAGATATTTGTAAGTGGAGGAGGGCTCAACTTCAGTCCAAGGGGTTAAATGTATAATCCTTAGGAACAGTAGTGCATAATCTTTTTAGGGCCCTATAGCTCCTTTAAGAATCTGATTAAAGATATGAACACTTGCTGCAGAAAAAAAAAATCTACATATATGCACAAAGTGTGATGCATAATTGCAGATGGTTCATGGCCCTCTTAAAACTAAAATGTCAACCCTGGCGAAGAGTCTCAACTTAATTTAAAATGTTTTTAAATTGCTAAAAGGCATGTGTGTTCACTGGAGTGGGGCAGAGAAACAGAAAGAAAGACAGGGAGAAAGTGCCTTTCAATGGAGAGTGGTCACACTGTCATCCCTTCTCCATTTCTCTATCCTGTTGAAATTTGAGGCATGCCACAGGCCTGGCATGTTCTTCAAGACACAATGGCTGGAATTTGAACTGTGGTTTGTCATGTGGGACCCAGGTCCCTTAAGCATTAGACCATGGGCCAGCCCAAGAACCCCAACTTTGAACTAATATTTTTTTTAAGTTGTATTTATTATTATTATTATTATTATTAATTTTCTACAGAGCACATGCACTCACAAGGGAGAGACAGAGAAAGAGAATGAAAGTGAGAAAGCAAGCTCTTAGGTCCGGGACTTGGTCAACCAACTGGCAGTCCAGTGCCTTAATATCATACCACTGCTGGCCCCTCAACTAACATTTTCTTTACGCATTTGTTCAAGCCAAATGAAGGCTATCCTTCCCTGTATACCTTCCCAGCTTTTAGAATTCCCTTCTACTTAATGTTTATGAAATTACCTGGGTACTATAGGGAAGTAATGGTTCCCACAGAGCTATAGTTTCTTTAAAAAAATGAATAATTATAAGTTTAGCCCCATAGAAATGCTCTTTTATGGGCTGCCCTCTTGGTGCAGCAGTACTGTACTGCTTAAAAAGAGCCAGATCCCACAGGGTAACCACAGTTCAAATCCCCAATCTGGTCAACCTGAAACATGGCAGGCATGTGCACAAGTGTACTGACAGGTTGAAGGTCAAGAAAAAAGGGATTGTGCAGTGACCAGATCCTGTGAACAGTGTTCATCTCTCTCTTGCTCTCTCCTATGTGTGCACTCTGTCATGAATAAAGAAAAATATTGAAAAAAAAACCCTCTTTCTTAAGTACTCATATGATACTAAACCCTCAGCTTTTATGGAAATAGAGATTGACTTTGGGGAGAAGGTTTCCATTTCTTCAGCAAAACTACAATTGAAGGCAGTGTGCACTATGCTATTAAATGCTTCACACATATTCATTTAAGAATATCGTAACTGAATAAGAAATTTTTCTTTCCCAGCAGAATCTGGAACTGTGGATACCCCAGTTAAGTGACACCCTTCCTCTTAGCTTCCCTTAATAACATGTATCATAAAAGAAGCTTTTTTTTTTGGAGAGGTTTTCGCTATAGGGTGTGTGCACTCGCCAGACAGACAGAGAGAGACAGAGAGACAGAAAGCGAGAAATCTCCCCCCAGGGGGAATGGTCACGCTGCAATCCCTTCTCCATTCTCCTCTCGGGATCTTGGGCACGCACACACACGCGCCCTGTGTGAATTCTAAGCCACTGGGTCCGGGACGTGAACCACGGTCGACTACGTGGGAGTCCAGCGACATAGCCATTACACTAACTGCTGGTTCCCACAAAAGAAGCTTTTAAAAAATGTTTATTAATGTTTATTACTTACCATTTTGACACTTGAGACCAATATATATTAGTTCTCAATAAATATTTGTTTGGGTATCAGAAATGAATTAATGATTTTTTTCTGGTCTTTCTTTTTATTGACCTTGAAGTTTAGATCCATGTTTAGAGTTGGCCATACAAATAGTAGCAGCTCAAGATTAAGATACAACTGTATTTCCTTGTTTCTAACCTTTTAACTTTTTATTTTTGCTTTCCAGGTTACATATATTTTAATGTTTGAATTGTCTGGTACCTTTTAAAATGATGTTGTTCTTACATATAATAAACCTACTTCAATCACAGCTGAGCATCATTTCTCAGCTTGGGCATCATACAGACATTTGGGACCAGGTAATATTTTATTGCAAGGTGCGGGCCTAGGCATTGGAGGCTATTTAACAAGTTCTTTGGCTTTACTCACTAGATGTCAGTAGTATCTCT